CTTACATCAAACATGTCGGATAACTTAGTTATCAGTCAGTTCGGTAAATGGCAACTGATTACTTTACGATGAATACTGCGTTATGACAACTACCTTCGGCAAAGTCATAAGCACTGTATCCTCTGTATCCTCTGTATCCTCTGTATCCTCTGTATCCTCTGTACCCTGGCGAATAATCAGTTATCATCTGCAACTTGACAGATAACTATTACATAACGCTATGAAAATTGACAATAGAGAATACCATTAGGAATGAAAGATACTGGGGTGATTGAAGTCGAAGAAATTGGATACTCTTCAAAATTGTCGAATTCTGATTCGTTGTAACTTTCAATAAATGAATTTGTCATAATTTCTTCGCTCTAAGTTGATCAATTGATGGATATAATTTACTGTATATTTGTAAAAAGTTTTCAAACTTGAGAAAATTCTACGGCTTTTATTAAAAAATTGTGTAACTTATTATTAAATGAATCTCTTAATGGAGGTATGTACATTTACATAACCATTTATACAATAAATGCATTATAAGTTTTACATCTTTAAAGTCTCTACCAATATGTATGTATTAAAAAGTGATACAAAACTGTCATTAATAGTTAAATAAATATTTATTTGATTCTTTTTCGCGTGCCTTTATTTTCATCTCGTGCCTATCCAAGTATAGCTTAATAGTAAGGATCAATGGAGATCCATTTAGAGCTGTTGAAAGTAAACGTTCCTTCATGCTATGTATAGTATACAGTATATGTGTACATTCAGGCCAAGCTCTTTTATAAACCTTTTTTTATTTTGCGCCTTGGCATAACACTTTGCATTTTATATATTATATAGGCAATATGATCTATTATAAGTTCACACGGCTAAGAGCCAGAAATATTCATCCCTGATAATAATAACCATAATAATAAATACGTAGCAATCCTTTTTATCAAACTACCTATCATTTATCAGTGAGAATTCGAGAAAACATATAAAAGAATTCGAGAACAAGGCATACAAAAGAATTCGAGAACAAAAAATATAAATAAATATATATTAAAATTTCAGGAGTCATTCACATTGAACCTTCATGTAACACATGCATATTGATTTTACGTAATAATAAATGAATTTATATTTATCATCGAATACTTTCATTGAATAACTTTAATATTAATACTATTTAATACTGTTATATTCCCATCATTTAATTACGGCTTAACACACTAGTGTTTATTTATATGACTAATGGGTAATTATTTTTATACATAGATGTTATTTATTATTTATATAAATTATTAAAAACTCAAACCGAAGAACGCGTATTTATATATAAAAATTAAGTCCATATAGATACAGATTTGTCGCCTTTCTTTATGCCTAAGTATACAAAGAGCTTTTTATACATATAATTACGTTCCTTATAAGTGGAAAGAACCAATACAATTTCTATGAAGAATATTTAACTATCTAATTTGCAAATTTGTTTTTGAAGTTAATTTTTTAAACATAAAATTGCCCCTGCAGATTTATCTTCTACCCTTTTTTTTGTCATTAAATAGTGAGATCTGCTATGATGAATGCCTGTTCCGAGACCATACTGGTAGCTTGTATAGTTAAATAATTTCTTGTAATTAAACTTAGAATAGGGTATTCTTTCTGCACTTGTCACCATACTAACGGAATTCCTCTCTTCATCTCTTGAGCCCTCTCTCAAATTAAACAAATAGAAAAGACAAATTTATCGGAATAATGGTCAGCACGGTGATCGGGATTTTAAGGATATATTCGAAATGTTTCAGTACTCTATATGTTTATTTTTTATGTTGTTTAATTTTCCCCAGTCCTTTATAAATACAAAAAATACGTTAACCTAAGTTTTAATTTCAAACGCTTTAATAGTAAGTATTTTTCTAATTTATTTCGTAGACTATCCAATTGTTCATTTGCAGATGATATAAAATTAGTAGCAAAAGAGGTATCAAAGGTGGATGAAATAGAAATAGGTGAAACAGAGGTAAGAAAAGTATTATTCATCATTGGACCATAATCAGAACCGGGACCAGACCATTTTGGCCAAAGAATTGAGAATTATTGGTCTTAAGTTTTTACCGTCCGATCTCGGTTTTTTATGAAGACTGATCCATCCCTACCTTTGATTGAATCCGCCGTTTTTACTAGAGATTAGAATCGAACTTAATTTTTACATTCGAACTTATTTAATTTGAATTCAAATTAATTCGAATAATTCATA